AGCTCTGGGTAAGTGCGCGTGCATGCAGCTTAGAGGGAACATTGGAAGCAGTTGCTTTTTAAATACAGTTACTAACACTGTGGATCTGACAACGATGCTGTTTAAGTGGATAATAAAAAAACTAAGCTGATGCAGGAACATATGCATCAAAAAGTAAAATGAGTGACATAATACAAGGCATACTGCAATTTTTATTACAGGGGGCCTCATGTCTTTTCTGGGTTTTTTTAAAAGGAATATGAAAGCTACTCTGTAAGCTTATAATATAAAGCATTAACTTCTGAAAATATGTAATGCAACACAAACCTTTATAAAACTATAAATAGACTTACTTTACTCTCTTGGAAACTTGGCATCTGTTGCCAGTTGTGAAAAAATTAAAGACTTGGAAAATATGAAATATGCAATGCAGCTTATGAACTCTGCCATGGTTTAAAGGGCATGAGACCTGGCATCATAAAACAAGCAGTTAAATGATAAATTGAAGATTCACAACTCCCACTACCCTTTTGGAACTTCAAAGGAGAAATAAAATAATAATAATAATAATAATAATAAGGCTTCTACACTTGACTTTTGAATCTCTAAAGCCTTGACTATAAAATGACCCCCCTGGGAGAACTCAACTTCCCTCAAAGACCTATGAAGATTAAGCTGCAGGTCCAAGAAGCTGCCTTTTGTCAAACTCTTGTATCAGGATATAAAGCAGGGATCTTCAAATGTTTTAAACAGGGGGCAGTTCAGACTGTTGGGGGGGCATACTATATTTTGAAAAAAACATGAACAAAAAGATCAAGTTTTTTTAAAAAAGGACCCAGATCCTTTTTTTTAACTTGATGGGGTGAATTTTTTTCCTTTTAAATGAAAAGTTATTTTAAATTAATGATTATAATGTTAATAAGTTATTAAATGGAGGATGGAATTTTATTTTGATGGCTAAATTGGGTTTAAAAACAAGAATGTACAACCTTTTTTGCTGTCTAAAACTGAAATACATTAAATTTTAAAAAGCTATAGAAAGGCTTAATTTTGGATGCTATAATAAAGGATGTAAAAATACAGATTGGCTAGAAAATCCTATTCAGCTGGGCAGTGATGAAACTGTGTGCTAAATAGAGGAAAACCTATTTATATATAAACCAAAAATCATTGGGGGAGAAGTTCTATTGATCAAATGTGAGTCAATGAGGCAGTGATGCAGCCCATGCAGACTCTGTACAGTGGGGTCTCGACTTACGAACGGCTCGACATACGAACGCTTCGACTTACGAACAGCTCTCATAGGAATATATGGACTCGACTTACGAACTTAGATTTGAGTTACGAACTCTTTTCCCCCCTTTTTTTTAAAGCTAAGTCATCTTAGGTTAAAAGGAAAAAAGAAAAAAATATCCCCCTCTAGTAGCAGAAGGCGGAATAGCAGCTTCCCATTAGTTTCTATGGACGAAAAGAGCAGATGCGGATTAAATGGTTTTCAATACATTCCTATGGGAAATGCAGATTCAACTTAAGAACTTTTCAACCTGAGAACTGCCTTCCAATACGGATTAAGTGTGCAGCCCATGCAGACTCTGTATTGCAGTTACACAGCTGCAGGAAGGTGAGAGCCCCCTATTCTCCCCTAAACACATTTACCTGCTGTTCTCTTCTGTCTTCTTCTTTCCTTCTCCTCACAGGCAGCAGCAGGGGTGACACTCTGAGGAGGAAAGCGTGCGGGATGTCAGCATTATAACCCCACAAGCTTTTCTCCTCTGATGGCTGCGGAAGAGTTGCATGAGAAAGAGATTCTCCTTCTCGCATGAGTAAACACTATAACCAAAATGATCAGCTGCCAGACCGGATAAAGACAAGGTGGGCCGGATGTGCCCCACAAGCTATAGTTTGAGGACCCCTGATATAAAGGGAACTTTGAAAAGTGATTTTTTTTTGTCTCTCTCTTGGTCCCCTACAGAAGGGCGAGTCCAAGCAAGGTTTCCCCCCTTGCTGACTTGTGAGGAGAACTTTGTGAACCTGTGAAAGTGTGTCGGGTTTTAGTCTAACAGAGGAAAGCTCAGAAATACCCATCTCTCTGCTAAGATAGCACCCTCAGTTGTGTGGTTTTTTAAAAATTAAATATCTCTCTTCTCTTGCCAGAAGGCACTGAGGCTTCTATGGAATCCTTTTCATTGTTGCGAAGCAATTAGGGACTGCAGTAGGGGGAAAAGTGTTCAATTATCTAAATTCACTGCTGCAGGCAGCAGTGATCTGAAGTAATTAAAGACTCCCTCTTCCCATTCCATGTTTCCCAACTACTTCCCAGTAGTGAAACTGATTCCACAGGAGTCTCATGACATTTGAGGGAGAAACTGGAAATGTTATTTTCTTTTAGAAATGCCTTCATATTATAACGTGCACTAATATTTCTGCCATTGGGTGCACTCTAGTTAGGGCTAACAACTGGTTTTAGCCAAAACTTATCAGCAAGAAGTGCAGAGCAGCCTTTCCCCTTAAGAATTAGTTTCATGTTGTGCCGAAACCCTGGAATATAACTTGTCTCAAAAGCTACAATCATGCTACATCAAACATAAAACTACTACAGACATCAGCAACGCATCAGCACTTCATTGAAAGATTAATGCTGAAATTACTCCTTCTTATGGAGTTGGTGAATAAATTCTTAACACAGCTGTGAGATATAGTCCATAAAGTGTAAGCAGGCTTATGTTCCACTGAATCAAGAGAATCTGAGATTCAATCAGCTCTGTTCAGCATGCAGATTACTATTCCAGCTGCTAATTACAGGAGTATATATGACCCAATACACTAGTCTGAAAGCATTGCCCACACTCAGTGAAAACAACATGCTTCTAGCCCACTTTCTAAAAACAATGGCCAAAACCCTGGGTCTCAGTGGAAATCCCAACTAGAATAAGCCAATGGAATCAATGGAGATTTGATTATTCTATTCCTGAGGATTCAGTGGGCCTTACTATTTAGGCTAAACCAGAGGATTTCAGCTACTGAATATGAACACTAGAAAACAATGGCTGACTGCCTCTGATTTCTGCACTGCCTTGGACCCTTTTTTAGAAGAGAAACAGTGTAAAAATAATTTACCTTGTCTCATTTCCACAATATACAGCTGAAGCAGAGGACTCTGTCTTTTGGCTCTCTCTGGTGTAACTGACAGTGATCAACAAAATGGCATGGAGCCATTCTGACATAATCACTGTTGTCTCTCAACAGTGCTGGAGTCTATATACTTATTAAAATTATATCCTGCCTTTCTGTCAAAAAATCGTGGTGGTGGTGATGGCTTGTATGTACACAAATACACCTTGCTCATAAACTATCACATAGTATCAGAATTCTGTAATACCTTAATTAGTATTACAACATTCTCTTTCAAAGAATAAGGAGTTCAGATCGTCCTAATTCTATTTGCTTTCCACGGACACCTCCTTGGAAGTCTAACTAAAGGTCAATACAAATACCCCAAAAATAAATAAGTAAGTAAGCAAATAAATAAATATTGTGACCCCATGCCAGCTTAATTGGGACTGACTCTAGCTCAACTCTATTTAAAATTGGAATGAGGTCTTATTTCTGAGGCAAATCTGCATAGAACTGGATTGCAAATCTAGGAACTGGCAAGGTTTACTTTGGTCTGCCCAACAGATGCAATTCCAGGTGTGGTGGACAGAGTGAAGGACTAAGACTATAGAAATCCGGGTTCGAATCCCCACTCAGCCTTGGCAACTGGCTGGGTGGGTGGAACTGGCAAAAGGACTCCTTAAATATCTCACTTACCTTGAAAGCCCTATTCAGTTCCAACCTGATGGCACAAAACACAAACCTACAGACACTCAATGGGATTACTTAAAAGTAAGCGACCACCGAACAAAGGAAGTGTTTTGAACCTTTAATGCAGAGAGCGTCGGCTACAGAATATCGTTTCTCCTCTGCACCTCAACAACGGGGCGAAAGAAAAACAACCTCTCATAGTCTCTCCGTGTTCCCGAAAGGCAGACCCTTCAAAGCCAACCGGACGCACGCGTGACGCAAAAACTCGCCAGCTAGCCTGGACGCCGCTTCTGGCATCACCTGAGTGACGTCACCGCCCTCTCCGCCCAATCAACCGCTCCCCTCCCACCCACGGACCCCAAGAGCCCGGACAACTTACCCCCCCCACACGGCCGACTCCTTTCGCCACCAACTTCGCCGTTAAGGAAAAAGGCAGGGCTGAGCGCCCGACGGACTGTCGACAACCGCCAATCGAATTGTTGGCGGCTAAGGGGAGGACTTCTTTGATTGGTTCAAAGTATCACGTGCCCGCGTCCTTCCTTTTTTTTTTTTTTGGTCCGCCTTCAAGTTGAATGAAGGCGTTGCTGCGAAAGAGTAACGTGGGCTGGGAAACGGAAGTGGTGCATGTTTGTTAATGCGCGCATTTGTGGCTCGTTCACGGATAGGGAGTAGGAAGACTTTCCAGGAAGGTACATTTGTTCGTCTGTGGCAGCAAAAATAAGAGCTTTCTTCCCATTTTGAAAGTAACAAGGTTTGGTTGGCAAGTGGTTTCGTGGAGGGAGCCCACTTGTTCAGACAGAGGGGATACAGGATTGAAGCTACAGGTCAGTAACTCGAAGGATAGTTGACTTCATTAATTCATTCATTAATTTTTTAAAATTAATTATTTTATTTTTATATGGCTTATTTGACCGATGGTCACTCTGGGCAGTTGACAAGGATGGCGATAAAATTAAAATATAACATATTCAAAATGCAATTAAATTTAAGTTAAATTCATTTACTGGTAAGTGGGCTTGCGTTTACTAGGGTGTTTAAACCAGTCAGCTGTGTGGGACTCTGACCAGGGCTGGTAACACAATTGTCATTTTTTGCATTCCATCTGTTTCATCTATAGAGCCAGTGTCCCTAAAAGTTTGTGACTGAAGTACTGTATTGGTACTTGACCAAGTGAGCTATGTCCAGGAAAGGACATGTCAAATTGAACTCGTTCGTCTTAAAACTGCCAGAGAACAGGAAAGGTAGCTAGTTGTTTAGGCTGTTTTCCTATGCCCATTTACCTGGTATAAGCACCATTGCATTCAGTGGGAATTCCTTTTGAGTAGACATATATGGGGGATAAAGTGGTGCCACGAAGCTAGATTCCCCCCCCTAAGATTCTGAGATTGCCCTGTTTTATGAGTGGGGGTGGTGGCAAAACATTGCAGGCATTTAGGAGACCTTGTACCACGTATGACCCACTAAGTGTTGTTGGACTACAACTCCATCATTCCTATTATGAATTTTGCTTATCAGGTGTGTATTCTGCTTATTTAATGGGCTGATATCTTTCATATACTATTTGATATTAAGTGTTGGTATTGAAAATGAACATGGTTATCACATGTCCAATTGAGTAAAAGCGTAGATATAATATTTCAGACAGTTGAAGAAATATAAGACTCTGTTGAGTTGAATGCAAAGAGGACTTTAAAGCAGAGATAAGTAAAGTGAAACCGTTGAAATATTGTTATCCTGAAACCTCCATTAGCCATGTACTATTTGATATTAAGTGTTGGTATTGAAAATGAACATGGTTATCACATGTCCAATTGAGTAAAAGCGTAGATATAATATTTCAGACAGTTGAAGAAATATAAGACTCTGTTGAGTTGAATGCAAAGAGGACTTTAAAGCAGAGATAAGTAAAGTGAAACCGTTGAAATATTGTTATCCTGAAACCTCCATTAGCCATGTCCCATATAGACTATGGTGGAGAATGCTGGGAGCTGTAGACTAACAACATCTAGTGGGTCTATATATGGTATAAGGTCTCCTAAAACACACTCCCCTTTGGAACACTACACACAATACCTTAGCTTTTGCTATATTCACATGCATAGGAGTGATGGCTTCCTGATTTAAAGACTCCCTCCCCCCCACTTCTCTCTAGAAAATTTTCTCTCCTTTGTAAAGAGTCACTCAGCAACCAAAACATTTTGACATACAACTGTTAAAGATACTGTATAGGGTTCCTTTCTCAGGGGCGAGACTGGTAATTTTACTATGCATAAGGCTTTTCAAAAATATACAGTGGTGCCTCGTATTACGAGTGCACCGTATAACGACGAATCCGCATAGCGATCCCTTTTCCGGGATCGCTAATGCGGAGGCATAGCATCGGCCCCAATGGGCAAAACTCGCTTACCGATGTTCCATGTGGGGGACCCAGTTGGAAGGAGCTGCCGCCGCCGCCGAGAGAGTGATGTGGGGCCGTGCTGGCCGGGGAGAAAAGCAGGCGGCGAGACAGGCAGGCGGAGGGAGGGAAGTGGCGCGTGCTCGTGCGTCTGCCCCCCTTCTTCGTCTTCCTCCCCCCACACTTTCCCTCTTCCTCCAAAACTCGCTTACCGATGTTCCATGTGGGGGACCCAGTTGGAAGGAGCTGCCGCCGCCGCCGAGAGAGTGATGTGGGGCCGTGCTGGCCGGGGAGAAAAGCAGGCGGCGAGACAGGCAGGCGGAGGGAGGGAAGTGGCGCGTGCTCGTGCGTCTGCCCCCCTTCTTCGTCTTCCTCCCCCCACACTTTCCCTCTTCCTCCTCCTCCCTCTTCTGCCGCGGCTGGGGAGGAACGCAGGCAGGCAGGCAGGCAGATGGAGGAAAGGAAGTGGCGCGCGCTGGTGTGTCCGCCCCCCTTTCCCTCTTCCTCCTCTTCCTCTTGCCCTTGGGCGATCGGCTGTTGCCGGACGCCCGAAATGGCCGCACGCGTTTTCGCGCCCTTCCCTCGCTTACCGAGGGCGCGAAAATGGCTGCCGGACCCCGGGAGCATCGCTGAACGGTGAGTTTTGGGCCGATTTGGAATGATGCATATATTTGTTAAAGTTAATCCTGTGATCACTGTAGACACCCTGTGGTGAAAACAGGCAAAAAACCGGTTGAAAGACCAGAAAAAGAATGGTGTTCCACATGGGATTGAATTGTCATTCATTGTGTCAGGAATACATGTTAATTAATGAAAGTTCCAGTAGTACATCTGTCTGCATGACTCTATATGCATAATGTTGTGCATGTTTGGGCTGATATAGAATGCTACAACATTTGAGAATCAGTTTGTTAATGGGTTTGATAATTTATTTAATTTGTTTTTATTTCCACTGTTGCTTTCTCTATTATTGTTTGACTGTTTTTCATATTCTCTTAACCGCCCAGAATAGTGCATCACACTAATAATGAGTCAGTTTATAAATTGATAAAATAAATAAATGCAAAAAGTTTAGATCAGTTGTGGCACTGTATAGGCAAAATAGTTTTTCTTAAACTTGTCAATTTCCTTCATAGTCAATTACTGCTTTTCTATATGGGCAGCTTTTGTGGGGATTCATATTTTCAAATAACAAAACTAGCAATAACATAAACGAATATATGTCTTCATATAAACTGGGTAGGTGAATACATCTTGTTCATTTTGTTAAAGTTTGTTAAATCATGCTATTGTCTTGGTAAGTATAACATCCGACAAATTGAAATCCTCAATTTCCTCGTAATTGGCCAGATACAGTAGGTGAGATATAAATAGAATAAATAAAAATAAATAAATAAATAAACTTTTAATCAAATATTTATATTACAAATTTAACAGAAAACAAACGGTACTTAAAGCAATCATATGCCACTGAAATGGGTCTTGTGAAAAGAAACAGCAACTGAATTCAGCAAAGATATTGACAATACTGTATACACATTTAATTTGACAACATGTATTAGTTTTTAGATACAGTTATAATAATCAGTTTCATTCCATGTTTAGATGGAGTTTAAAATTGAAAATACGTGGAACAACTTTCCAGTATCTCATGATCCAGTAATGATCAAGCTGACACCAGAAAATGCTGGAATATTGATGGAAGTGAATGCTCCATTTTTTAATGATCCTCCTGCTCCTCCTGGTGAACCAGGAAGACCATTCAATGGTCTGTGGGACTATGAGGGTAAGTTAGCGTTCTATTGCAAGCTTATATTTTTCAAATTCTGATAGCAACTCTTGCGTAGACTTGATATTCCTTGTCTAAGAGTAACACCCTCCTTTTAAAGATACCAGCCGTCCTCACATGTTGTCTTCCATGACACCATTCTGCGGTAACTTTCTTCCCCCAGTTTTCTGCATTGTTAATTCAACTATCATGCTCTATTACAAAATGGTGGAATATAAAATTATTGTATTATCAAAAAGATCTAACATTGGTGTTTTCAAAAACTTATTTATTGATTCAATTAACTTTCTAGGGGAGAACCTGGAAAGCAAGCTTATGTATGAGCTCTAAGGTGGCCTGTTTTATCTATTGCTATATTGTGAATATGTGTTTTAAAAGCTTTAAATGAAATGTGTATTTAGTAGTTGGGCATAATTTCTCTGTCCTTTTTGCTCCTCAAACTATGAAGGATTTGTATTCATACCTTGTAGTTGCCTAAGTGAAGAAATAATCCTACAGAAGCCATTCATATTTTATTCATACTATTATTTTTTATCTGTGTTTGTTGATTCCTAATGCATTCTAGTATGGCAACAAAATTTCTGAATAGCTTTTTATACATATGAATGTCATTAACTCTGTTTTCCTACAAGGATCATGGAGGTAATGACATTTCTTGGATTTTAATCCACTTCTAGGAGTTCATGGCATCAGTTTCTTGTATTTAAGGTCTTTCTCCTTGGTCAGTTCTGTTCAGTTTTACCTATACAGGCCTCTGATAAAGAGCCCTAAGCTACACTTACCTGACTGACAGATAATACTAGTTTGAGAAATTGCTATTTCCTAAAGCTGTTTTCAGCCTTTTCTAGAAAGAAGAATCAATCTATTATTTCCTGTCTCTTCCCCCTTTCTCTTCCTCGTAAGCCCCCCTTTTTCCTATTAGTTTTAAAACAAGTAATCTCAAATAGCTGACAAGTGCTTTGAAAGCATTTTAAAATACATCTAAGATGAACTGCTTAAAAACTAAAAAAATATTTTTTTTCTTTGCGGTCTTGTACATAATAACTTAACGGTAATACTTGTTGAGTTCAGTGGGACTTACTGCCAGATAAGGGAGTACAGGATTGCAGCAAAATTATGCAGTGTTATATATACCACAGAATACAACCCATTGAACTTGGTGAGCTTTACTTTGGGTTATCATGCACTTTCCTGTAAGCATTTGGAGTATAATAAATATGAATTAAAATAAAATAAGCAGTCATGGCTTCTGGTTTTTTAGTTGTAGAAGCATTCTTCTTGAATGACCAAACTCAGCAATACTTAGAAGTGGAGCTCTGTCCGTAAGTAAATATTTCAAAACCTTTTAGAAATGTTATCAACTTATCCAGTGCACTCCTGTTGCTTGAATAGTTGGTTTGTAAACTTGTTGCTGACCAAACTCTGGGAGGCAGCGGAAGACAGGAGGGCCTGGCGTGCTCTGGTCCATGGGGTCCCAAAGAGTCAGACACGACTTAACAACTAAAAAAACAACAACAACCTTGTTGCTAGAGACTGCTAGAATTCTAAATTGTCTTGCCTTTGTGTCTAGAAAACCTAGTCTTTGCTACACTTCTGTAAGAGGATTTGATCCTATGTGTGTTTCCAAGGCACCTAAGCAACAGCTCTGAAGGTTGTGTGGATAGGCAAGCAAAGCAAAATAATGTAGTGCCTAATATGTTTTTATTTTCATGACATAATTAGAAAAGTGGTGAATAGTAGAGTTGTGGGCAGGGATATGTGATACTGTACTTCATAACACTGAAATTTTAATCTGAATCTTTGAAAAAATAATCCTCAGTTTCAAAAAGGTACTCTACACTACAGGATTCTTAAAAATACACCAAAGGGCACACAACCATCGAGACAACATGGTTTATAGAAAGCGCGGCAAGGGAAGAAAGGAGAGATAAAGGTTCATTAGTTTGCTCTTTAAATATCTAAGCAGATCACAGAGAGAAGTCCTGGTTAGCCTCTGATTTATGTACACAATGCTTTGGAAGCAAACACCGAAGACGGCAGATCCAGTACTTTCTGTTACACTTGATCACGAAGGCGTGCAAGTCTGAGAGAGCTCGTCCTGTTCTGTTGATGCCACACTTGTACCAACCGAACCTGTTTGTCCTTGAGGTAGTTCCATGTTCAGGTCAAGGCCAGCTTCGTCGGCCATTTCTTGCAGGAGCAGATCCACTTGGTTCTGTGGTGTTGTCAGTGTAGTTGTACTGTTCATCGTGTCTTCCATCTGTGCTGTCTGAACATCTAAGGTTTCAAACTGCTGCTCAAATTTGTCCATCAAGGCAGAGATCTTTTCTAAGTTCATACTTTTCAAGGTAGTGTCCATAGATTTAACTACTCCGGCCATCGACTTTGTAACCTTGCCCATGGTGACCGCTGTCTGAACTCTCGCTGCTCATGCGGAGGAAGTTGATGGCTTGGTTCTTCTGCCAGATCGCATTCTCGGCATGTATCCTTGCAACCTCCGTATTGCCCTTCTGAATTGCCTTCTTAATTTTGGCCTTGTCAACCTTTTCTTCTTTATCACACCTTTTGGCATTTCTGCTAAGCTGTTTGGCAGCAAACTTCAGGTTAAAGAGATGTTTCTCCATGGCGGCGCTTGGGATCAAACGCGGCTCCCTCTCCTCCGAATCCGCGGCCCTCAGGGGTGTGGGCAGGGATAGATTCTTCAGTGGCAATGTCATCTGTATACCTTTTTGCTTCATTTGGGCTTCCTTAGCAAGAGGAACATCTAAGCAACAGGCCCCTAGTATTCCCTGGTAGATGTCCATCTAGGTACCAACTAGACCCAAAATTGCTTAGCTTTTCAAATTAGATGAGATCTCTTTATTTGGGGAGGTGGGTATTAGAAGAAGCTGTAGAAAATGAAACTGCTTTTAAGCAAGTGTATTAAAGTTCTATACTGAATCTGGGAATATCACACATGCTATTGTATATTGCGGTTGCAGTAGCAACAGAAGAATATTTATACAGTACACAGAAATGGTACAGTCTGTGTAGAGTCCAAGAGTGGATAAAAGCTTGGGACTTGTGGTAGTGTGTGTTTTTATTGTTGACATTTGGAGAGAGCAAGATTGCAAAGGCATCCAAACCCAGGGTTTTGAGTGGCATAATTTTCATTAGCCCTCCATCCTGCAGTTAGGATGAAGGCTAATGAAAATAATGCATCATTATTAATGCATTTAAAATAAGTGCGTGTGTGTTTATAGACAGAAAAGGAAATAAGGTGCGTTATGTGAACATAGGCTGCTATGTAATGGAGAAAATTTAGTCAAGACCTGTATTTCCATTTCAATTGCTGATTAATGTTTCAAATTATGTATTCATTTTTTTTAACAGAACATGTGAGAATGTTCTAGTGAATGTATTTCTGAAATGACTGTAACATGTGTTCATAGGCATGGGCAGCATCTTGTATTGTTTCTTTCTGGCAGACGGAAAGTATGTAAAGTAAGTGGATTATATAAATCTTTCCCCAGATTCATGATTTATTTTGGGACTGGCATAAATATATCTATTTGTCTTCTTCATACAGCAAGAGCTTCCTCTAATGTTTGAAGTATCAAGAATACATGCAAAATGGACAGGCAAAGCCCATCTCCCGTGGAACTATTTTCCACCATCCATTGACAAATTTAATGCATTTGCAATTCATGGATCAGGTGTGGATAGAACATATGAAGCCCTTTATCCTGTAGATCACAATGAGATTGGTGAAGAACAGAAACCTGATTTGTAAGTATTTTTCCTGGTAGTCATTTTTTGTTATGTCAACTACTGTAAAAAGTTGGCATGAAAAAGAATGTGTTATTATGCTTTGCTGTTTGTAAAATTAGGAAGCAAATGTGACTCAGGATAATCTGGACCAAAATCTAAATCAATGTAATGCTGCTTATTACATTAAAGCTTTACAAAAATAATTTTTAATCTGCTTATATCAGTTTGTTATGAAATATATCGGCTCATTCAGATAATTTAAAAGTGGAAACACAACACTTTTACAGATATTTTTATGTCACATACTCTACTTTGCTGAGAATTTCAAAATATATCCTTTGGAATTTAATTGGATCCAACAAAAAAGTGTGTAAACCTCTTGCATTAGCAGTTTATTTTGAAGAGAAGCAATTGAAATGTCCTTTATACTTATGTATCATTGCTGTAAAAGTGCCCTGAAGAAGGATGTTGTCCAAAATGTTCAAGGCCTGTATATGTCCTTTTTAGCATCTTCAATTTATTGCACTCGTTGTTGTGCTACTACCACATCTTGACAGTCCAAGAAAACTATGGTATTCTATGCCACAAAGCTTGAGTGTGCCAGAAGGGTATGGGGAATACGGCAATCAGTTTTACTTTTCTGTCCTCTGTTATTTTGAGTATTTTCTGGGGACCAGAATCAATTGTGGTGCTCCATAGTTCCTGTTAGATGGGAGTACCTGCTAGCATGTATGCATTGCCAAATTCTCATAGTCTACACACTTGTCAATGCACACCAGACATTTGTGCAGCTCAAGACACGTTATTTAATTTGCATGGAAGTATTTGCAATTCTGGATGAAGATGCTACTCTGTCTACTTTCCCTTTCTGATTTTTTAAAAAATGGATTTATGCAGTTTTGAAACCACTGGAGCCTTGGAACCTAATTTGATGACAAAAAAGAACTTTGTGCTTAAACTCAACAGAAACTTAGAAAGCTGACTGAAATTTAATCTTACATGTAGTGCAATGTGCCATATATGCAACTGAGGCACACAACCTGCAGTTTTACAGATTTCACTTACACTATGGGTATGTTATACTCAGTGACTAGTCTTTATTCTCAGCCTAGAACTGTGATTCCCAACTTCGACTAATCAAGGTATTCCTGGATTGCAGTTCCCAGAAGCCTTCATTACTAGTTGTGCTGGACACTTGTGTTTCCCCAGGTTGGGATCCATTGATCTAGAATAACAGTTTGGTCGACACTATCTGAACATAGTGCTTGTTTTGAGATATTATACTGCTTCTTATACTACATAGTCTGAAACCTGGTAGGAAGTTGCAACTAGACTAGGAGCATTGAATCAGAGATGACTTGTTGAATCGGTATTCATGTAAGTTTCATTGATTATCTAAGTAAAGGTAAAGGTTCCCCCTGACAATATTTGTCCAGTCGTGTTCGACTCCGCATTGAATCAGAGATGACTTGTTGAATCAGTATTCATGTAAGTTTCATTGATTGTCTAATACAGTATTTTTTTAGCTTTCAATTTCTGTTATCATAATTCAGAAAAAAATGGCTCATTACAAACAGCAAAGCACAATCTTCCGTGGTCACATGGCCAGTGCGACTTAGACGCGGAAGGCTGTTACATTCCCACCGAGGTGGTCCCTATTTATCTACTTGCATTTGCATGCTTTCGAACCGCTAGGTTGCCAGGAGCTGGGACAAGCGACGGGCGCTCGCTCCGTCGCGTGGATTCGATCTTACGACTGCTTGGTCTTCTGACCCTGCAGCACAGGCTTCTGCGGTTTAGCCCGCAGCGCCACCACGTCCCTTTGATTATCTAATACAGTAATTTTTTAGCTTTCTATTTCTGTTATCATAATTCAGAAAAAAATGTAAAGAAATTGAAGGTATAGAAGTTTATGACCTATTTTGTTCTTTGCATCTTTTCTCTTGCAGCCACCGCCTGGAATATTTTAAAAGCTTCAATCTGAAACTGCTAATGGGTGAAGATTGGAAGCAGCCTGGATCAGACTTGTGGCCATTATGCAAATAGACCAATTAAATAACAAGAACAAGAGGTAGACTAATAGCTTAAAGGAGATTTTTAAACATAGATGATTTTCAAAGAATTGAAAGACTTGTAAGCATATAACAGAGTAAGCAGACTCTTGGCATGTGAGCAGAATTCAAGTAGCTGTCACAGTTATGCTTATGCAATATGAGTCACACATCTATAATTATTTATCTATATGAAAATGTCTGTCATCATTGGTATCTTTTTACTTCCTCAGCTGTGTCTTTCATTTTTGCTGATATATAGGCTGATCATAATCAGTGTTATTCAGAAGGAAGTCAAAGGAAGGGCGTAAGTACATGCATACAGAGTCCTTTGCGACTTCCAAGTAAGTATACAGTACATGTATTGCAGCCTTTCTTGCAGGCACTAAGGAAAACAGTCAGTAAAAAACACTATTTTCTTGTTGCTTGGTCTTAGCTGGTTGATATATATTGGCTAGATCCAAAAGAATTTGAATCATAAAGCAATATAGTTTGGACCAGAGTATATGAAAAAACCTGTGCTTCCACTTGAAGTCTTAAGGATCCATAGCAAAATTTCTACTCCTCATGTCCTGGCCTTCAGAGATAATGTTATGCTTTATGCCGTCACAACATGTGTGTGAACTTACACATGTTGGGAGTATACACACCTAAAAGGGATCTTTGAGCCATGGCAGTAGTACATCATAATGCCAGCTGGGTTAACTAAATCATATTTGCACAACTATTCAACAGGGATTTGGACACAGAAGAATTAAAAAATATATAGTGATCTTATTAGAGCAGCAGAGATTATGATAGAGCTGCATAAATTGGAAACAATCAGGATAACTAAAATTGTAGATTTAATGTACCACTCAACTGTTTGCTTGATGTTAGTTCACTGTTGAGTTCCACAGAAAGTAATATCCAGTAACTATTGTAGTGGGGAAATTGTCTGTTCTTCCAGATACTGGAGATGCTGAGCTTTACTTATAATAATGACTCTTATTCCCCAGCATCCTTATGCCATATGTATTTTCTCTCCAAGGAATATTTGTATGTGCATTCTACATTTAAATAACATCACAGTTTTGGTCTTCAGCTGTCAAGCACACCATCTTATTCAAACTTCTACACTGTCCTATTTTTCTTTACATTACACTTCAACATCATCCTTTATTGCTTTGCTTTCATGGTTTCTTAACTGGGAATCTCTCACCAGTGTGCTGCTCCTGTCTGGAATTATTACTATATGTTAAGCCATGATTTGTTACAGCAAAGCATTTCAGATTTCTGAGGATTATAAGTACTAGAGTGCTTCAGAACTTTCTTTTCTGGAATGCAAAAGAAGGAAGAAAAGGTGGAAGGATGCTGTTCATCCCTGCATCCTTCAATGTATTATCTTCATTGTTTTGAATTTCTGTCTCAATTATAGTAAGCTAACTTTACTTCCATGGCAAGAGAACCATTAAAATTGCCCAGAATATCATCGGGCTCCAGCTACCAACCCTGGATGACATCTTCACATCCCGCTGTCTAAGGAAGTCACACAGCATCCTGAGAGACTCTTCCCATCCTGCTTATAACTTTTTTGAACTGATACCATCTGGCAGAAGATATAGAACAATTAAGACTCGGACCACACGTTTTCTCAATAGTTTTTATCCCAGAGCTATAATTGCAATTAATAATGAGCTTAAAGACCACCAGTAGTGAATAATTAGTTGGACTGTGTTACTTGGCCTGCGGTGTAGATGTTTGTATTTTTAGTGGGGGACTTTTAGTGGGTGGGGAGTGTTTGGGAATTTTATGTGTGTGCATGTGTCCTTCAATGTATTATCTTCATTGTTTTGAATTTCCATCTCAAAGTAAGCTAACTTTACTTCCATGGCAAAGAAGGAAAAGAGTTTTTTTTCTCCTGGAGTCACGCAGCAATGGACGTGGAGTCAAACTACAGTCAACCCTCGACTTACGAACGGCCCTAGTTACGAACATTTTGACTTACGACCCACTCTCATTGGAAAATATTGATTCAAATTACAAACTTAGATTCGAGTTATGAACTCAAAAAAACCCTCATCTTGGCTTGTCTTGATTGAAAAGGTGCTTTTCAAGGTATTCTGTTGTCTGAAATGTGCTTAGTTTTTCCCAAAAGGTGCTTGGCTTGGTTGAAAAGGTGCTTTTCAAGGTGTTCTGTTGAAAAGGTCTCTGTTTCCTCCTTCCCTCCCTCTTTTCTTTCCTTTTTTAAAAACCTGAGTCATCTTATGTTAAAAGGGAAAAAATTCTGCCCCTAGTGGTAGGAACAAATTAACTGGCTTTGCATTAGTTCCTATGGGAACTAATGATTCAAGTTACAAACCACCCCTCGACCTAAGAAGCAGGAAAAGAGTTTTTTTCTCCTGAAGTCACGCAGCAATGGACGTGGAGTCAAACTACAGTCAGCCCTCAACTTACAAATGGCCCTAGTTACGAACATTTCGACTTATGACCAACTCTCATAGGAAAATATTGATTCAAATTACAAACTTAGATTCGAGTTATGAACTCAAAAAAACCCTCATCTTGGCTTGTCTTGATTGAAAAGGTGCTTTTCAAGGTATTCTGTTGTCTGAAATGTGCTTAGTTTTTCCCAAAAGGTGCTTGGCTTGGGCAAAAACAGCAGAAACAGATTAATTGGTTTTCAGTGCATTCCTATGGGAAATGCTGATTCGACTTACAAACTTCCTTCCGGAACGGATTAAGTGTGTAAGTCGAGGGTTAACTATATGTGCATTTAAACAAATCAGTGACATATGCTACTTGCAAGGATGTATTTGAAATACTATATCTATCTTGGTTTGTTGTATTGTCTAGGCTGTCCTTAAATTTTAAATACAGTGGTGCCTCGCTTAGCGATCGCTCCGTTGAGCGACGAAATCGCTTAGCGACGCTGTTTTTGCGATAGTAAAAGCGATCGTTTTGCGATGTTTCCTGTGGGGAAAATTCACTTTATGATGATCGTGGGGAAGCGATCATCGCAAAGCCCCCATTTTCGGCCAGCTGATCGGTGGTTCCAAAATGGCTGCCGGGAAAAAAATGGCTGCCCGCTGTTTTGCCTCACTTTAGAGGCACCGAAAATGGCTGCGGCAATGGAGGATTTTCACATAAGGTTATTTTTTAAGCACATAGGAATGCATTAAATGCATTTTAATGCGTTTCTATGGGCTTTTAAAAATCGCTTAGCGATGTTATCGCTTAGCAGCGATTTTTGCTGCACGGATTAACATCGCTAAGCGAGGCACCACTGTATGTGGCCTTTTCTCAGCATGAACACGGATCATTTACATTTACAATGACAGTTTTTGAACCGAGTGCCTAATATATTTACTGTCTTAAGTTATCACATGTGTTTCTTTGTGCATCTGCAGCAAATGAATATTTTCCTTCAGTGGAGATTTGGAATGTTTACAAACTTGTCTTCATGGATAATCAGTGGCATTGTCCATTTGGTATAAGCAAGTGAATGTGACTTCTATAAAATTGGTTATATTAAATAAGCATTGTGAAATATATTCAATATGCTAATTATTGAGCTAATATCTTGTGGGCTAAATGTGGGCAAGCTTCCCTTTCTGTTGTATTTTTATTGCAGTTTTGAAAACATTCTTTGTACTCCATTCTGAGAATCCCATTTTAAAAGTTGGATTTATCAGCTGCATAAATAAATGATTTGAACATGGTGCATTGTCATTCTTCTTAGAGAAATATAATATACAGCTTTCCAGCAATCTTCCCTTTTTGGAACTGATGTTGCACTATCACAGTCCCTATGATACTTGCTGCACCATCCCTTCTTTCCTAGCCCCAAAATATCTACCTTTAGCATCTGCATCTTAGCAAATTATTGCTGCTTCTACAATTGTAATCAAAATTATTGAATACTCATTGGAAATCAGGTGTATTGTCAAAATTTACAGACTTTCAGCTGTTTCTAATGAACAGATCAAACAAAACCAATTGAAATAGCTCAGCACAATGAATGATTCAAGTGGTTTCCCGAAATTCAGCTGAAAATACAACTGTATTACTATCATCTAGACCAGGGGCCCCCAACCCTGGCCCCTGGCCCAGTGCTGGTCCGTGGCCTAGTCTGGCCATGGACAGATCTCCCACCCCCCACACAACCGTTCCATGGAGTTTAAAAGGTTGAGGACCTCTGATCTAGATAGACTACTATCTATTCCTGAGCACATTCCCTTTACATTACAAAGGGCTACAAAATCAGTAATGGGGAAGGCCAACTAACCCTGTGCACATCCACTTCTGGAATAATTTGTTCCATTTTCAAAAAGAATTGTTGCCCACATGTGCTGACTCTTGATTTAGGAGGGGAAAAATCTTTTACCCCATTCTGTAGAAAGACAAAGATGACACAAGCTAAGCATTTTAAGTATTAAGAGAACTTTTACTGCGATGATGGATCCAAGACTGCCGTGGAACAGAGGCAGAAATGGGTTAGTTCTTCAGTCTGTAGATGTCCAGACTGTGCATCTGCTTGTTCACAGACATGTACTAGTTATTTTTAATTATTTGTAAACAACCAACAGTGTGGTATAGCGGACAGAGTGATGGACTAGGACTAGAGTAGATTCTGTTAGAAAGGATTCTAAAGAAAACTTTCAGCTTCCAAACATCCTTTGAGTTATAGATGATGTGCTGAATCTTGGGTATTTCAAGACAGAACATTTATTGTGTCCATATCCTGTCTAGCTCACAAGATTTTACAGGAGGTCCAGACAGTGTCATATTCAACTGTTAACACCTTCTCCCATTTTTCTACCACTTTCATCTGTTATCCTTCTACCAGAAAAACAGCAGGAACAAAGCCACGGAGGAAAAGAAGGCATAGCAACACAATGTCTTCTGGGGTGCTAGAAGCTCTCAAGTCAAAGTATCATTAGTAATTAGAGATAGGGGATATTTGTATACAAATACGAATATCCCTGCATGGATGGAAATAATGAGGTTCCGGCCAAATGGGGCCGGACTGTCCACTCACGATTTTGCTGCTCCACAGAGGCTTCCTATCGTGCTGTTCTCTGCAATGGATTAGCCACTCTGCGACCTGGCAGAGAGGCTTGTCATCTCGCTTCCTGCCAGGAGTGGGTAGTTGATTGCGGACAATGGCATGATAGGAAACCTCTGCGTAACCGATGACAGTGGGGAAACCGTGAGGGGACAGGCTGGCCCCATCTTGTTATTTCCACCTGTGTGTGGATATTTATATACGAATACCCCCATCTCTATTAGTTATGCTTACAGACTTATTGAAATCAATAGGGTTTGGTCATACTATTGTCTGATCCTTCCCATTTTGAAAGCATTATTTCCTCTACCTATT